ATGTAATAATCTTTCATCTTCATGTAAATATCTCTAAATCATAAAATTTTTGGGATATATTTGAAATGGAACCGTTCAAAAATGTCGGCTTGCATATCCCCGTCAAAGGCCTGGCTCCAGTACCCCTCGTCCTGACCCCCTTCAGACGTATGCATTATCCGCTCCTGGTAGTAGTAGCCATCATCGTTTTATGTCCATGCATCGCCGCCATCAACCAGACATTGTGTATTTTGTAGATGTTGATTAAACACACAACAGGGAAAGACAAACGAATTTCGTTTATTTTTTGTTTTTCTTTTTTCAAAAATTCTACCTCTGCACTCCTCATGGACACCAAATTTTTCCGTGAACTACGGGAGGAAGTAGTGAAAAGCATGAAAAAAGAGAGAGCAAATTTTAGTTGTTTCAAGTATCAGTGCTTATAGATGAATCGCAAAAATTTTGTGGAAGTTTGTGTTAAGATTGAAAGATGAAAAATTGAAAGCAAAGCTGCTGGTGATTGCACGGATTAATTTGAAAAATTACTTGGAATGCTTGGAAAATTATAATGGAGTGATATTCAATTGTGTTGATATTACTATTCTAATATTATTATTGTTATTATCACTATTATTACTGTTATTATTATTGCTACTATTACGATTATTATTCGAACTGCGAGCCAAACTTTGCCACTAATTTTGCAATTTAAGGGTTCTTCATGTTGTGGATCAGTTTAAAAATTACCCCTAATTATTCTCTAGACTGTGATATGTGCTGACCTGAAATTGCGATACTAGATTTACCGCACAAGTTCATGAATGATAAGCGCGTTTTTGTAAGTTTTCTTTACTTTTTTGAGAGCGCTTTAGCATAAAGTTCTGTGGCTGGGAACTGTGGGATTTGGGAAGTCGAAGACTCGAGTACTGAAATGCTGGATCAGTCGATCATTCATTTTTTAAATAAATCTCTATTCCTGTTAATCCCCAGATTAATTCGTAGTTTTTTTTTTTTTTTATGTTAATCATCAGTTTCTTTTTCGTAATTTGCAGCTGACTTTATGGAATTTTTCTTGACTTTATGGAATTTTTCACTTTTTTTAGGTATTTTATCAGAGGAAACCCATATAATAAAAAGTGTGTAATAAAAGCAGTATGAGGGAAGTAGCGGTAGCAGTAACAGCGACAGTAGCGCAGTGCATGCGACTAAATTCTTCTAATCTGTAATTAAAATCAAACAACCACACCGGCATAAAAATTGAGATGGAGGGGGTTTTCCTTTGTTCCTTTTCGGGAGCAAAGGAGGGAGGAAGGGAGGCACGAAATGACTGCGCCTGTATTAACGGTTTTAAATGAGGACTAAAAATTGAGGGTTTGTCACATACAGCATACACCAGACATAGCAATGCCAAGTTCTGAAATATAAGTGGGAGTTTGAACAAAGTTTGATTTGAAATTTGAAATCAAACTTCCCGCATGCAAAGTTCGGTCAGTGTTTACAGCTAAGGGATGAAACACAGACAGACTGCATCGTAAAATGT